AAAGATTTTATTTATTTGAGAGAGAGCACAAGCAGGGGTAGTGGCAGAGGGAGAGGGAAAAGCAGGCTCCCTGGGAGCCTGATGTAAGACTCTGATCCCAGGACCCTGCGATCATGACCTGAGCCGAAGGCTTAATTGACTGAGCCACCCAGGCACCCCTGATTTTAATTTTTGTACATAAAGAAAGAGTTTAAATAATTTGGCAGGGGGATCTTCAGAGAGAAAGGCCTGAAAAATTTACTTGTTTTAAGAAACCATTTACTCTTGTTATCTAGCATGTTTTAAGTGTGAAAACATCCTCACAACAATATGTTTAACACTTAAGATGTAAGCCTATGCAAGTGGAAAAGAGAAGACAAGTAGGATAAGGAAATAAAAAGAAAGGAAAAGAAGTAGCAAAATATTAAAATATAGGGCATAAGATCATGACCTGTACTATCTTGTTAAAGAGGCTGTTGCTTAGCCACTGGATTCACTAAGTGAACTTAACAAATAAAAGATCATCACCTTTGCCTTGTCTTTGAGGAAGATATTAGGGAAATTCTTAGTGGACCTTTGGAATTGTAATCATGGAACACTACATCAAAAACTAATGATGTAATGTATGGTGAATAACATAACATAATAAAATAAAAAATTCTTATTAATTTGGACTCTCTTGAAGTATTGATAAAATAAGTACAGTATATCTGAAACACCAGGATCATATGACATTTTCGCAAGATGTTTTTTGCTTTTTAAAATTTTTAAACGAGTTGTTAAAAAAAGTTTAGTAAGCTTATAAAAAATTATAACAAGTTCTTAGAAGAATATATGTCTACTTTTCTACATAATCTTCTAACAGATTCAAATATTTTTTATTGAGACCAGCTTTATGATGTCTATAGAGATTTAAAGGGAATTAAGGTAAAACTATTATCCAATTTATGTCCCTTATAACAGAATTATATAACTTTTAAACATTTTATAATGGAAAATTTCAAATATAGAAAAGAAAGAATATAGTAGTATAATGAACCCTTGTGTACTTATCATCTAGCTACAGCAATTAACAACCTTTTGACAATCTTTTACCTATCTTCACCCTCCTCAACTGTTTTCTGTAGTATTTTGAACCAAATCCCAGATACTCTATTATTTCACTTATAAATACCTTAATTATTTGTAGAACTTTTCTTGTTCACTTAAAGCTATTTATTGAGTTCCTTCTATTTTTATTGGCATTGAGTGGTTCCAATAAATCAGAACAAGACCTGCATTAAAATAAAATAATGTAAAGTATCCGGCACAGTAATATACACAGAATAGGCCCTTTCCCTTCCATTCTGCAAGGGCTTTAAATTTTAAAAATTTACAATAATTCCCTAATATTATAAAACTTCTAGCCAATGCTCAAAGTTTCATTGATTTTCTCATAATTTCTTTTTATAGTTTGAAATTAGGATCTACATGACATCTGTAGATCACAATTGGTTGATATATCTTAATTTACAAGCTCATATTCATCTCTTTCTTTTTTGTTTAAACCTTGCCATTTATTTGATAAAGAAAATAGGTGGTTTGACCCTTAGAATTTTCCACATAGTATAGCTTTTATGTTCTTCCCTGTCCTGTATTTCTTATAAACTCATAAAGAACTAGAGCTTGATCTGAATCAGGTTGATTTTTGGCAAGACTACATCTGGTGGTCTTTCTTTTTGTGATATTAGCAACCATTGGTGGTCATGGTCTAGATTTGTTCTTTATTCTTTATCATTTATTATGTGCTTTTAAAATTCATTGACCATAAAGAGCGATTTTCTATTTTTCTTTCAAAGATTTTATTTATTGGGGCGCCTGGGTGGCTCAGTTGGTTAAG